TTGCTAATTATTGATCTGTTTTTTTTTTGTGCCGGGTTATTGGAATGAATGGGATGCACGTGCTGCATGAGGTAATACTGTATACTCTATAGGGAGGAATTAAAAAATAATTTTAGATGAAATTAAATCTAATTGAATTATTTTGACTCAACATCAGTGGTTAAAAAATGTAAGTTTTTTCAAAAACAGAGTACCTTCCATTCCTATGCAATAATCATTACGACAAATAGTATACATGGCTTTTAAAGAAAATGTGTCTTGTCTAAGTGAATATATATAAGCACAGAACAAATACAGACATAAATACATAACATACACATTGAATGACATCGCACATTTTAACTGTAAATATAAATTATAGTATAATTAAAAAATATATTTTAGAAAATGTATAGTACTAGTGATCTTAGCGAAAGATCTTACAAAATTGGGGCAAATATATGTACAGAAAATACACAATCGTTCAGTGTACAGTGTATGTGGTTTGTGAGTGCTGGTATGTGATAGTGGCCAAACATCGACACACACAGCTTGTGAATGTGCCAAAGCATAACCCCACCAATAAACTGATTATTAAATGCCAGGGACATTTGTGGGGGCATTTTACTTGCTGTCTACAAGATGTGAGCCGTTAAAATAATTAAAGTGGCTCGGGGAAAAAAAGTCAACTTTTAACCGCTAAAGTTAATCTGTATAAAAATTGATTAAGCCGTGCACTTGTAATTACACGCCCTAACACTCTATAACTCGTGGTCTCCCCCCACTATTCCTCCACGACCGTGACGGGGGGAGGGGGGCGCAATTGGCGGCCTTCGCTCGTCTTGGGCCAACAAAAACGGGCATCGGTTTTGTTGTTGTTGTTGGAACCGCGGTGCGCTGTGGGCCGCCGGGGCTGCCGGGGGAGGGTGGCGGCGGCGGCGGTGGGCGGCAGCAGCAGCGCCGATCGGCGTGCCGACGACGATCCTCGCCGGCCCAGCCCGCGTATCGCACTCCACGGAGGAAGGCGAGCGAGTCCCCTGGCCCACCGTGCGCGCGTGTGTGTGTGTGGGTCGTTATCTTGGCGGATTTCGCCTGGTGTGGCCTGGGGATAGCTTTACATGTGCACGGTCAATATTTGTCCGGGTCTGGCGACAGGGATAAGGCGAAGCTGGCTCTCGCTTTGCGTCGTTTAAACATTAACAGCGGTGCCCGGCTCTGCAGTGTCACCGGGAATGCAGAGCGTACACGTATATATTTGACGCTCAGACTTGGTATATGTATATACAGGAATGCGATTACAATATATATGTAAATAATAAAAAACCGTGAATTAGAACATAAATTTGGTTCGTTGGATGTAAAGAGTGCAAATGTTTAATTGTAAAACATTGCAAATGTAAAAATGAACATATTGGGCCCACACACTCCTGCTTTAGATCTGTATGTCTTGCCATGGGGCAGGCCACATTTAATTCCAAAACTGCCCTTATACAAATACATGGTTTAAAAACAGCTAAGTCATACATTTTAAAAATAGCTGCAAGTAAAATATTTGTAGTATATATCCCATGATCTACATGAAATATCTAAGACTTTAACTTAATTAAATCTACAAAGGACAGTACATCAAGTATGGCAACTGGATAACTCCCATAGCAGGTCAGCACAGACTGGCATTTGTTTGCATAAAATAAGGTTTTGCAATGAATATCATATTTAAATATCCACTTTTTTTTCAGTAACGTATGTAACCCAGTAAAATATTTATCTGCAACATTTGTATTTTCTGCAACAACAAAAAAGATTTGTGCCACATAGAATACAGGGAAAAAATAATAACACAAACATGCTTGTATATTTTTTGTAATCTCATCCTTACCCATACAGTGCTTGTCTTTGACACTAAATTGCCATATTTGCTTACAAGATAATTACAAACAAAATATGAATCACTGTGCGCGAACGCAAGACATGCACAAACACTCCAACATACACACTTATACGTACAACAAAGACAAAGACCTCACATATAGCCTTTAACAGACTGTTGGGGCAAGTGCTGTTAGCGTGCACTTATGAAGGCCAGCACAGCACACGAAGGGGTAGGTGGCCAACACCACGCCCGACCACAGATGCACACGCACACATAAACACTGCAACATACGCACTTACACATAAACATAAAGACCCCCGTATCGCCCGGAGCATTTGTCTCCCTCATAGCGATGTTTACACACCGCACCGTGTACTCATTTGAGGCTGGGTCGACCTAGGGGAGGCCCACGACTGGTTTAGATAATCGTCACTGGTGTTGGTCGTGAGTGGGAACCGAACTTGGGTCTCCGGGTTCGTAGAGCAGCGCGCTAACCACTACACTACCGCTCCCCAACATTCGCACTTACACACATTAACATGAGCATGCTACCACACTAGCAAAACAAACATACAGGAACGTGCACACGCATACACCAACAATTTCAGAGGCTCACAGTACAAAAACATAAACATGCACACACCTGAACGCACACTGCATTTGCAATACTACTCTTGGTGCACAATTACAGTTAACCCTCATGTTATTAAAATCTTAATACGTTAAAGACGAGTGGAGGAAAATGATGACTTCCCCTAAACGCTGCATATCGTATGGTCTCACTGCCACCTAGAACCAGTCTACACGGTGCCCAGCTCGTCCACATCTATCTGTAAATCTACACGCACAAGCAATTGCCAAGCAGTTTGCATCTGCCGCCGTGGTGTAACGTTTGGCACATTGGACTTGCAATCCAGAGGTTGCCAGTCGCAATCCATCTCTGCACGACAGTTTAACCGAGTGTGCAGGTTTATTGAATCCCACCCCATGCCTCCGCTTCTTTCCAGCCAGCAGGTCGCGTGTGATGGGTTAAAGTGTGGGCAACTCCAACCTCTCCCGAGCGTGGAACATCAGGGCAAATGCCGTCGTCTCAGAGGGCCTCTCTTGAGCCACCTCGAGTGGAGGCCCTTCCCGCTGGCAGTTGCGTGAGTGAGCCATTGCATGCCTGCGCCTTTTTTTACTCTCTTTCATGTATCCGCTCGAGCACAGCCCCTCCTACCCACCGCATCCCGCTACCTCCGTAAATATTTGATTAAAGATTTCGATGGCTATTTTGTCGGTGTACACTCCACTGCTGGATGAGGGCCTCACCACGCCGAGCGGGTCACGGGAAGTTACTTGGCCAAACTTGAGGTTGGCCAGCGAGGGCTGGTGAAGGTTGAAAACGTAGGTCACAGAGCATGGTGCAAGGTAACAAATGTTTTTTGCTGCACTGCCATCTGCTGGAAACGTGACCACACAACAGCCTACAACACCTGGTTTTACATGTGATGGTCGCGCATGCAGCTAGCATGAGCCAGGCTTCAACCGGCTTAGCTTCCGAGATCTGACGGAATATATTTCATTGCAAACAGCAGAGAAATATCAATTCTCAGACAGTTGCTCTTTGCTTACATTCACACGGTTTTAACATACACAACATCTGTTCGTGTGCGGTATAGTCAAACAAAGCAACATTGACTTTTCAAAAATGAATATAAAATGAACACATTTTTTGTGCAGACTTGGGGATTCGAGGTCTCTGGATTTAAAACTGGTTGCTTTCATATAAAATACCCCTGTAAAACATTATCCAATGCGGGTGTGTATACAAAGAAGTCTACATTACCAATATGATAATAATAATTATAAATGATAGGAATTATGATCGTCACCAGCCATGTTTAATCCACTGCTGGATGAATGCCTTGCCAAGCTGTCACCATCTGTCGTGGTCTCACGATGTAACGATGAGGCTAGATCCTGTGAAAGGATTGAGTACATCGCTCCATCTCTGTGGCTGACGTCCGCTGGGGTGTGTCCTATCCTTTGACTGCCATTCCGCCATTAGTCTCGACCACTGCCTGCCATTCCTTCATGTGTGACGTGTCCTGCCAAGGCTGTAATTTATAAGCCACGTCTTTCTCACGCTGCCTCTCCGTTTTCTCCCAAGTGTGCACCTTTACATGCTCCTTTGCGCACTTTTTAGCTTTTCTGTTCCGGTGTACATTAACCACCGTGACTCAAAATAGAGGGAATAACTCGTACAAGTGCTTGCACCGTTATGCATTCTGATATTACGTGAAAATGTAATACTTTAAAAATGTAATCAAAATAACGATTGCTCAACATTGATAATGAAACTTGTTGTGTTTTAAAACGAGCAGCCCAACTGGTTCATATCCACGTACATGCTCAGGGGAGGGGGCTGGCTTGTGCTGCTATATCGCAGCTCTCTGCGGGCTTGACAGGGGTCAGGCTGGAGGGATGGGGCCTGGTCCAAGGAGCGAAGCTTAAGGACAATACTCAAAGGCACACTGGACCCTTCCAGGAACAGCCTGGTTTCTCATCGTCTTTGGAATGTAGCATCAGTGCCGAGCGTGCTAACAACCAGGGTCCACCAGCACTCAGACGTGTACAAATCCCAATTCTGTATAGAGAGGAAGGCACCGCACCTGTAGCATTCACTCAATGTGCCAACTTCGTTATCCACATGTAGACCTTGAGCGAAGGAGTGTTTACCCTTCCGGAACTGTTAGTTAGGAAACAGAAATATGATCCGATCACGAGCTTGATACGTGATGAGCTGCACTGGCTACCTATTAAATAGAGGATTGTGTATAAATTATACCTACTCCTCTTCAAGAGTCTCCATCAATATGCTCCGTCCTATCTTGCCGATCACTACGATCTGCTGCTGTACCCGCCACGTGTAAACCGCGCGCGATGCTATACGGCCAGCGCAGTTTCGGGGTCTCTGGCCCAAATAACTGGTACACCGCTATCAGCTCATATTCAGGATCCATCCCTGAGTCTGAGCCAGTTCTGCAACAGACTCAAAGCAGTGTTTCGGAGACCCTACTTCAACGTGTGATCAATGCGCATTCGAGATGGACTGGACTCATAATAACAAATGTTCTTACTTACGTCTTACTTACTACATTTACAGACGGTGGCAGAGCCATCCATCAACGAGCCAGAAGTGACCACACACGCCTCGTCCAAAACAATCCCTCAAGGCCCTGTTCGACCACACAACCAACCTGCTCACTGCTGCTGCGTAGGTGAGTGGTCGTGTGTGCACCTGCCGAGCGAATCAGCCAGGCAGAGCCAGGAGATGCCAACATCAGTCAGCACTGACCGGGCATAGACCACCAAATTGTGGTGCCACAGTGGCGAGATGTTAACTACCTCGCCTGGTACACAGGAGGCCGTGGGTTCGATCCCAACCCTGACGCCTGCTGCTGTTTATTTGGAGTTTGCACGTTCTCCACCCCGTGGTCACATGAATTTTTCTCTGGGTCCTCCGGTTTTCCCCTTTATATTTAGAATGAACATCATGCGTTTTAGAGTATTTGGCTGCTATACATTTTCACGCGATAAGCCACTTCCGTTGAGCTATAATTTGGAGCCAGGTTACTTCTGAAAAAGCTACAGTATATAGCTCAGTGGGCCTATAAAAATTGATTGAAATAGTTTAGTTTTAACTGTATATGTGTGGGAATCAGATTCATCCTGGGGTGGTTGATACAAACCTAGCAGCTCATGGCGCTGACCCAGTGCTACCAATTGTGACTCGGTAAAGTATCACAAAACCAAATTGTAAGAGATCATAAAGTAATGTTATTGGTTATTTATCTAATATATTCAATCAATGAAAAAAAAACATACGCAATGAACGCTTTACATTGCGTTGTATATTACAGCACTGTACAAGTATACGCACATACACGCATACACATGGAGATGTTAGTTTATAGACACGTGCGTTCTGCAGCATCGATAGATTAGCATAATGCACCTGGTAACACGTAGCCAATTATTGGCATAATTGCAAGTCTACAGATTCATAATGAGCACTGTATCACTATTTCAAAATGCAATTCTACAATACCAAATATTTCCATGTATAAATGTCGGACTCCCATAGATGGCTATACTAAGTAGTCTTATGCAGTATCACGTTATCATATGATACACAATACCAGCGGAATTGCATTTGGAATGGCAGTTCAGAGTCATGGCACTTACACACACATACCAACACAGGCCGCTGACGGGCAATATCATGACTGATAATTATGGAATGTCTATTTTACTACTCTGGTGAACGAAGCATCGAAGGCATATTACAACTATGCGTATCATAACCTCGCACCTCCGATTAGGACGGTTGGCTACGTATGGCGCAAATGAAGTTCAACATACGTGCATACATTTACACAGCAATAATTCACCACAGTTTTAATACGTTTATAATGTGGGGCGGAGCACCCAGTTCCTACCTCACTGCACTTGATAAAATTCAACATAGAGTGATCAGGTTGATTGATGACTCAGAACTCACTCTTTCATTTCACTCACTCGCTCACTAGCGGTCAGTCGCCTCCTTATCACTCTGATTTTGCTAATACCATTGATATATATTTTATATCAAGTTATAAAAACGACTTGACTTACCGTCTAATATTTGTGTGGATATGTATTTGAAGAGTAAACCGTGGGATTCCAAAACCCCAAGGTCACTGTGAGGTTGTTAACTCACGTGCCAAGGAGAATGAGACATGTGGCCACTGAGTAATGTTTGCAGAGCATTCGAAAATGTTCCATAAAAAAGTCAGTGCTGCAAACTGTGACGTCATGGAATGTAATATTAAAATATTTTATGTTTCACATAATGAATGAAGTATCAATTTCCATGGAGTCAAATGCCATTTTATAGTCTACACAGTCTAGGCACGGCGGTATTGGGAATCCATTAAGTCTTTTTCAAAGCTCTTACAAAGCAAAGCCTAAATAAAACAATATTTATAAATGATGAAAAACAATTTACAGTCACATTGAGGCTGCATAAAAGATTACATATTAACAAGGGAAGTCAGGTACGTTGATGCCCTATTGCGAAGTTATTCACAGCGAGAGTTGAAGATCTTTTTCCATAGGCTGGATTGGATAAAGCAGGGAAAAATGTACATTGGGACGACAGTGGCACATCTCAAATTTGGCGGCGATGGAGTCGGCGTGACATCTGACGGGTATGAACGGTGGCAAATGTGAGAAGAACTTAATCGAGAGGGCAGCAAAGTTGGACTGAAGATAAATATAATTTTTAAAAACGACAATTACATAAAATAAGTTTGCTAAACAATCAGATATATTTTTTTATTTGAAGCTTTCGTGACTGCAGGGATTCATATTCTTGGTTCTTTCGGTAAAGTCACGAACATAGATGGACTCGTCCATCTATGTTCCTCTTTTCCGAACATAGATGGACTCGTCCATCTGAACAAACTGCCAAAACGCTCTCGTGTTGCTAACGTCACTTTTTTCAAAATTTCTTGCTGTGGTGTTCACACCTGATGATGATTGCTTGTGTTGCAGTCGAAACGTCGTGAGAATTTTATTGTTTTATATTTGAGTTATTTATTGTTTCCCTTCTACGTGACTTTACCGAAAGAAGCAAGAATAATCAGATATATATTTCACAGATAAATGGAAAAAAATAGCAAAATATCTATCTCTTGGATAAAAGTGTTTGCTACGTCGAGTACAGTTTCTATATTTTTGTGTGTGTTCATATTTTCGATAAATTCAGAAAGTGTAAATTACCTACAAACATATATATTTAAAATCTCCTTATTTTAACCAATATTGCTCAAGAGGCAATTTTCTAAAGATATACAACACACCTTTACTACGTGTTCCCAATAGGTAAAAAAATAGTCACATTAAATTTTGAAATTGTAATATTAAGCTTACAAAAGCTAAAACAGAGACTTTGTAAAATCCCGTCGTGCAACATCCTCATTTTACAAGATGTGCAGAGAAGGTGATGTGTAATTAGAGTGAAAATAAACCACGAGAAAGTGGAATACTGCCTAATAGATTGTATGAAGATGCAGATTGCATTAAGCAAACCGCATTATTGATGACAAATCCATTTGAGGAAGCGGGTACTCCACAGCATATATATTAGCTGGGCGTATAAAATATTAAAGTGTAAACATCTTTGAGCTCAAAGATATGACGAACAAGATGCTGGATGGAGTGTTCCAGGTTTCGTGACGAGCCCGCTGGCGCGATGCAGACAGCTCGTAGAACTTGCGCAAAGCGGAATTATTCCGTGTACATATATATTTTACAAATCGATCTCATGCCTGTAACCGAATTATGTGCATAACCTAGCGACGGGGAAGAAACACGCAATACTCTTTCCACGTAAAGCAAATTAAACAGTTTAAGTAGATTAACGCCGCCTCCCCACGTTCTTGTCAGCGTTGGGTGATTGCTAATCCCTACCGGTGGTGCTGAGTCATACGCGACGATTCCACATTTCTACGCCAGGAACTAATCTATCCATAACACAACGACTGTTGACTTTCGATCTACAGCAGTCGTGCTCAAAAGCCGGTATTCATTTGAATATCTCCAGAGTATTGGTGTGTCGCAGGGTTAAGTCCCAATTACACTCACAATGTCTTGGTCCGTGAGACTATTGGCTTAATCTGGCCGTTCTAATAAGGATATCAACGATGACCAGGTAATGTTACAAACTAAACGAGTATCGTGTTAGGCATATAGTTGCGGTAAAACAAAACTTTTGTTTTCATCTTAAACAGCGGTAATTCTAACGGAATCAGAAGATGTATAATTAACGAATGATATAATGCACATTGGCATTATGGGCTCAACTTGTCAGCAGAATGTTTGTTGATAGGCACAGTATTTGATGCATTCTTTATACACCTTGCAAACACTGGCTGCATCATTGTTTCTGTAAAATGTAGATACAAGAAATGTAGTTGAAAAATAAATCTATATATAATACAATTTGTAAAAATACCGTTGTACTGTACATGGTAAATTAAATGCTAAGATCCTTTGATTACGGGACATCTTTTTGACTACAAGCGCTACACAGGCGTACAGCGCATGGTAGTCCGTGCGTTCAAGCACATGTGTGTGTGTGTGCATCTTTATAATACAGTATATATCGTAGGTCGCAAGTCAAAAATTCCATCGTTTAAGAAAGCCGGATCCATCGGGTCGCTTTATACAAAATATGTAAAACGTGCGCCGCATTTGCTTGCGCTCAATTGTCCACTAAACCACCACGTAACAATGCAAACAATGAATGTGTGCGATAATGGCCGAAACCAGCTTAACGATAAATTAATACCAAGCAATTAATTGCTTTATTCACCAACACGCTCCGTTGAGTACAGTGCACATTTTTATTAGTTTTTAAGCTAAATTAGTTTTATTTCTTTTTTGTTGTAAATCCACTCGTTATCCTTTCATTCTTTTTTGCTTAATCCAGAATATGCATCGCGAGTGGGGGAGGGGGCTCACGTTTGTTTTGGATTTATTTTTATGCACGAACCACGTTCTGATTTCTCTAATTCCTGTCTGAGGAAGGCACAGCTGTAGGAGTGTAAGCCCCGATTTGGGGCCGTCTGATCCAGGAATCCTTGTTTGCGGCCGCGGTACAATCAGAAATCTGCATCTAATCTTATAAAGCAAAAACTTGTAGACTGGGCTTTACATTCGTGTGGGCAGGATAATCTCAAAGCCCAAATCTGGCTTCTTACCATGCAATCACAACCTGAGGGCTAATACTTTGCTTCTGGAGGTTTCATTTTATAGAAAATTAACGTGCCTTAAAATGTCATCTTATTGAAAAAAACAGAATACAACTTTTGCGCTATGTTTAACATGTGACTTTTAAAACTGTTATATAAACATTTTGCGACGTGCATGTACTAAGGTATGCAAACTTCTCAATGTTTTAATGGCAGAGTACTAGAATATATTGGCAGAATTATGAATGCGCGGTTTTCTATTTACTAATTCCATGGTCCAACATCTCCCATGACAAACAAATCCAGCAGTTGATTAAAAAAAAAACTGGAAATCAATAATACCTGTTTACTGATAATAAAAAGCATGGCTGCTGATTGTTCACGTGCATCTTTCTACCGTGGCTTGTAAAATTATTATTCCTTCGTACCAATAAAGTTGCATTTAAACTGAAACATTTAGAAACAAACACATGCTCCGAACA